TCTCTCCACTAGTTGATACAGGAGCACTATATTACATTACTTGCTGGCTTCAAATATTTCGAAGTTTATATTCACTTCTAGCCCTCTGAATTGCCTGGAATTTCTTTGAGTGTAGCTATTCTAATGTACCAAGGAATCTTTTTCATTCTTTCTTCTTGTTGTTGCGACGTAATGTTAATTTCGTGTTGCATGCACCTGTAGATTGTTAGCCGAGAGTAATTGTGTGTTTGTGTGTATGTTTTGTTTTTGTGTCCATGTGAAATGAAAGAATTATTACAAAGAAAACACACACACACACAACGTATAACCGCAAACACGTTACACCATGAAGATTAAATACATTACAAACAACAAGAACAACGACAATTTGAACAACAGGGATAGAAGTAACAACCTTACCATGTTTTGTTTTGTTTTTTTTTTTTTTTGCAAGGGGATTGTAAAAAAATACTTACCTTCACATCCTGGTAGGTGGTGTACTGCTCATCTTTTTTTGTAGTCCTTTAACGATCCCACGGATGTAGAGTATGCTGATATGGAGTTATATGAATATTTATGTGGATATGTATGTACAAATGGATATGAGTATGTATGTTGTGTGTGTGTGTGTGTGTGGAATTGATGGAAGTCGGTTGTTTTGTACTTTTTGTTCCCCTTTGCCACACATCGTAAAACGGAAATGTAACAATACCGTTTTCCTTCAGATTCGACGGAGCGAAGGAAACGGAAATTGTATTCTTCGAGCAATGTTTATGTTTATTATTTAGATAAATATTTAATAAAAAATAGTTTTTCTTGCTTTACAGCATATGTCGCTGATCTCGCCTCTTTAACCGGGGTTCAGCGGATGCGAAGAGAGATATTAAAAAAATCTTTAAATAATTATTGTGTTCTGGCAATTTTTCGTTTGGTTGTTAGTGAAATTTTTAATAGACCTTATTTTGTTGGAAATCAGATATTGCAGTTTCCAATTTGGGAATATTATGGGTAGTAAAAGCCAAAAATCGGGTCCACTGGTGAACCCTTGAAAAAAAGGATGATAGGAACTCAGTCACCTTTAACGACGTAACGGTGACTGATCCGAAGTGGTGCGCGGAGTATTTTAACCGACAATTTGTCGAGCACCCCGAGAGCGACAGGGTGAAGCGAAGAGTACTTCGTCGTATCAGATCTCTTCCCGCCGAGGAGGAACCACCACAGTTTACGATGGGTGACGTTGCAAATGTCATCCGTAATACTAAGTCATCCAAAGCGTTGGGCCCGGACGGAATCTCAATAGTAATGTTGAAACAGCTGGATACGCCGAGAGTCGAGAACCTAACATGCATATTTAGTAGGTCTACCTGTTGCAAATAAACGTTTATATTGGCAATTAATGTAAAGAGAATCGTACTAATTACGAAACTTTTTTAAATGCTTATTGTAGATTTAGAGCAGTTATAATTTCGAATCAAACGGAACTAATATATTTTTTAGTGCCAACCTTGCTTTCCAAAATACTCCAGACACAATAGTCCAACGGATTGCTATCCGGCCATTGTGCGCCGGAAATGAAGCGAGGAACCCGCGTGCTGAGTCTGATGGTGCTGAGTCCTGTTGGAATGTCCAAGGTCTGCGGCCAAAATGTGTGCGTGCCCAAGGCTTTAATAACCCTCCACAATATTTTCGTGATAATATTCGGCATTTATTCTAATGCCACAGTCGATTAATACGAGCGGAGAGCGACCATCGGTTGTTATGGCGGCCCATACCATCACCATAGCCGGCGCTTGAGTTCTGGTGGTCAACCGAAGGTGCGCATTTTCAGCTGACCTCTTTGGCAAGTAAACACGATCATTTTGTTTGTTTACAAACTGCTGGACAACGAATGTTTTCTCATCGGAGAAAACCAAATTCGGCAGTTCTCCACTTTCGGCCAAGCGAAGCAACTCTTTACCTCTTTTGAGTCTATTTTCTTTCTGTTGCGGTGTAAGTTCTTGCACTTTTTAGAATGGCTTTACCCCGAGCTCATTTTTCAATATTTGCCGAATGGAATTTTGCGATATGTTCAGTTCACAAGCCATTTTTCGGCCACTGCGACGCGGGTTTCGATCAAGTCGCGGGTTTCGCTGGTACGAGGCACAAACGATTTATTCCAACCACTTGTGAGTTTTCAGCCAAATATAAAGAAATCACACCATCACGTTTGAATTCCATCACGAATAACTTTTTTCTGGAAAACGCTCACCAAAATGCTTTTGTACGCTTGTAAACAATATAATGAGCTGTCACTGGAATAATTTAACAGCTGTCGGACCAGAGACTTAGTACTGACAGCAATCTGAAATTGGTTGCAGTTTTTTCGTCTCACCCTGTAAATGCGCCCGGTACTTTGTTTTCAAAAAATAAATGGACGGACATGCAAAAATCGGCTCAGAAAGTGATTCTATGAAGATTATCAAAATGAGCTGTAGGTCTACTTCGTTTTTTTTCTGCATGTTCGAAACAAATGCACAGACATAATACCCTGTACCAAACTGTGGCGTAGGGTATCAGTAGGCATGGTGTTTTTCTTTCGCATTCACTATCGTATCGTCATAGCGGAAGAAGCCCTAACACTTTTCAAATTCTGAGTCTAAACTGCTCGCTCAATGACAATTTGAACAAATCGTAAAAAAGATTATTGAGTTATCAATCGCACCTATGATTCAATAGCCTGACATCATGACAAATTATTACAAAAACATAAAACATTTGTATAGTTAAAATTGTTACATATTGACGTTTGTTTTTTTTCTACTTTGATTGCATCGATATGTATAACAACACATCGATATGTCACAATTCATTTGCAATGCATATTTTAATTTACGAAATATGGTCAAATCATCATATCATGCTCCAGCACGCACACCCACCCTTTCGAACATACACACGTATACACACCCACATACACGCCCAGATGAGATAAATTCTATTTCCTAAAATTGCATTTGCCGAACATAGTATTGAGGACACCAGTTGGTGGGGAGTTGGGGGCGGTGGTTGATTCGACGAACGATCAACGACCAAATACTATCACTTTGTGTCCCCCTCAATCAATTATGTTGACAAACATTTCTGTTGACATATTTCAAAATTACCAAACATAAATTGATTGCTAACTAAATAATATTTTGACATTTTGAATACAAATTGCCTGCCAGCCGGCCTTCTTGCCGCCTTGCAACCTGTTTGTTGTTGTTGGTGTGTGGGTGTGAGTGTTTGTTTTTATTAGCTTTTGCGATTTCGATCCAAGTGTGTTCGATATGTAATAGGGACGCAATCATAGTTCGAAGGGTATACATATAAACTACATAGTTTTCAGCTGTGATTCGTCCTGCAAACATTTTCTATCGCCTGCGTGACGAAAACCTCTCTAAAAAGCGATTGCTGATAAGAATCTGACTGTCGCAAATATATAGGAATAACCTGAGCAACATTTCTGAGATAAACTAAGTACTATAGTGATGTAAAGACAACAATGCGCATTCGACCAGTTCGATCGACCGAACAGCGAAGGGAGTTCGTAAGTAGGTTATTATAGAGCAAGTTGTTTATTTTACCGAAAAAGTTATCTTTAGAGACGAGGCCCATTTCCATATTGATTCCTTCGTCGATAGGCAGAATTGCCCCTTTGAGGTGAGGAAAATTCTCGAGAGATTCACGAGAAGCAAATGCATCCTCAACGTGCCAATGTGTGGTGGCTGGGCTGGAGAAATAATCGCATTTTTTATGAAATGAGGCCGGTCAAGCTTAAACAGTCAATGATGTTCGGTATCGTGAATTGATAATCAGTTTGTTCTTGCCTAGAAATGAATATAGAAGGCATTTGGTTTGAAGAAGACGGCACCACATGTCATAAAACCAAAGAAACAATCCAATAGCTGCATCAGTCATTTCCCGATCGTGTTATTTCGCATTTTTAACACCTGAATCGGTCGCCTAATTCGTGTAATTTAACACATTTAGGTTTATTTTTTGGGGGGAGGTTTGCATTTTGATGTCGATAGTTTACGTTCAAGTAAAGCCTTAAAAGAGAAAACTGGACGCTGCATTAATGAAATACCGCAGCATTCATGGAAAACGGTCATTAAAAATATAATTAAAAATTGTGTGTGTGCCAGCGGTATCCTGCCACACATAACCTCAATCTGTCTGTTTTACGATTTTTTTTAAATATCTGTGTTATATTTATAATTTAAAAATTATTTTCTACTTGGAACACCCTTTACAAATTGTTAAGCGAACATTACAAGATCAGAAAGAGTTGAATGAATTCTCAAAACTGAAGTAACATTAAACAAGTACAAAAGCAGCTAAGTCCGGCTGAGCCGAACTCCCTCCATCATTTTAAAGGAATTTGAAAAATTAAATAAAATTCCGTAGAAAAATACCTCTCAAATGAGTCCCCTTATATGGGTGCTATACAAAGACGTGTTCCTTCATAAGTGATTTTTTCTCATAGGCTGTAGTACCCGTTACGAACTTTAAATACAACATTTAAAACAACTCTGGTAAAAAAGTTCGCTGAAATCATCAAAATACGGAATATTGGGAGGTACCGTTATATGGGGGCTATACGAAGACGTGGACCTGCTGTGATTTTTTTGTCATAGGTGTATAGACTCAATAGAACGATACCCGATATTCGGTATTTGATGATTTTAGCCACTAATTTTAACAATAATTTCACAATTAACTTCGTAGCTTCTAAACTATTCTGTCTTTTGACAGTAAACATAATTGTCAAACGGGTATACTGGGCCATGAATGAAGGATACATTCGTTGAGAACAATGATACTTACATTCATCGACTGAAATGAACAAAAATATGATATCATTACTCTTTCATTGCCTCAAAATTTCAGCAGTAACTGAATTTTTATCCCAATTTTTGGATCCATAGATCTAAAATAGTTAATAACTCCGAATATATGTAATTCCCTGTATTAATGTCTCACATTTACGTATATTTCAGGACCGCAGCAATGCTCAATCGTCTTGTGCTGGCTTGTTTGTAGGAGCTAACCTGGGATTCGATTATCCAGGCATATGGATGCATGTAGATATGGCCACCCCTGTCCACTGTGTAAGTAAAACATAGTTATAGGAGATGAAGTTCAATTGATACCCTGCATTAATAGAGTATCAATTGATATTGGACTACCGAAATAGTGCAGTTAAATTTCATAACAATAAGAAAAAAAACGTGCATTCGTACTTGAATTTCCAATTAATTTTCGTGGCTCACTATATTTTTTTCTATTTTTAGGGTGAACGTGCCACAGGTTATGGCGTGGCATTGTTGCTGGCTTTGTTTGGTAGCCACACCAACTGCAAGATGTTGCAATCGATTGCATGCAGTGACTCTGAACCACCACCGAAACGCATCTGTCGCGACTAAATTATTGGCTGAAGCAGCTCTGCCATTGAGCGACATAATCGCTTTCCAGAATGAAATAAATCTTGAATGCTATTATTTAGTTTCCATATATTATTCATTTCAATGTTGTTCATTTTCAAAAAAAATGGAAAACATTCAAGTAACATTAATCGAACGAGTAATCTGTAATGCGTTTAATTTTAATTTTCAGATATTTACATTCATTTTTTGTGGTCTGATCTATAATATAAATAAAAAGAATTGAATTCAAAATGTACTGATATTAACTGAAAATTTGTTTTTCTTGTTTAGAATGGTGTTTAAAAATGGAATACAAGTCTCAAATTAAGTAATTTTATTATAAGTTTGATTGCGCCAAAAAGACATGAGACATCTTGAACCAATTGTTTTTATCATGGCCCAATTATAAGGTAAACTAGAAAATAAATTTTTTTAGCATCAGTTAAAAATAAATAAATGAATCGGGATTGAATATTGGGTCCACGTCCATTTTCGCTAGTGAAATCGGTTGGTAAAAAGTCTAAGTACTATGTGGTTGTTATCTATTGTGAGTTTTAAATTCTAAATTAAACAAGTAAAAAGGCAGAAAGAAAAACAAGTAAGCAAAGGCTATAGTCGTGCGGGGCCGACCATGTGATACCCTACAACACTCCTTATGTCCAAATCCATTTTGGAAGATTTCGCTTTTGAAATTATATCACGGAGCACTGCCCAGATATTCGTCGTGCTGTTAGTTGTTGTGGTTTATGTAAAATATAGAATATAATACAATGGTCATCCAAAATGCAGGAATTCTTTCCTGTCATTAACTCTCTTCTCAGGCGTGTCGATTGGCTTCAATTTTGTGATCAGGAATTTTTTTCTGTTTTTGGTTCATTTGAACCCCTAAATATTTTGCGATCATCTCCAAAAGCAAGAAGCCGCTATGCATCCACAAATTTAGACCCATATATATGATTTCCTTGACTATGATATTTGGCTATAATCATCAACGAAGACAGCATAAATAAGCCAGAAGTTCGCCTTTTGTGTATTTGGCATATCACTTGTAAGTAATGTTGGTATTTTTTGCACACAAAAGTAGTGGTACTTTCTAACCGCTGTCATAAACCCTAACTACATGCGAGATTTCGAGTCCGTTGGCTTCTATTTGCTGCAAAGTCAGGAACATTTTTAGTGGTTGGTCCATTTCAAGCCATAAATATATTGCGGTCACCCTTGAAAACAATGGCTCTTCTGAGCCTAAACCTACCCTTGTGAAAATTTTCGGGAAGATCGGACGATAATTGCAATCTGTATATAATAACCCCAACCCGTGTTGTAAAGTGAAAACATTTTACAAAATGTATACTTCAATATTATAAGTCAAATTAAATAAATCGCATGCGATAAAAAATATGAAAAAATAAAAAATATGTCACAAAATACTACAAAATCTATAATAACACTATTATTGGCACATTTCTATGAGATTTTTTTTAGATTTTATTCTCTTATGTTAAGAGAGCATTCTGAATTGACAAAATTTGTCAAAATCAGTTCAGCCATTCTTGAGATATATGCATTCTAGCTAACATCCAGTTCCATTTTATATTTACATTGTATATATTTCCCGATATATATCAGATATATTTACTATCGGCTTCTACGTAACGATCAGAATTGATCTCTTCATCTATTGTGATTTGGCCGGGATTACAAATATTCGCGGTTTAATGCAAAATTTTACTTTTATTTAACACAAATGCTATGGTCTATTTCACCCACTAAATATTACCCGATGACAATAAAAATTGGAAGGCTTCTGGCCAGCCCTAAGCTCTAGCCCCATGCTAACTTCTGCGTCGATTGGTCTATAACTGCGACCTGTAGAGCAACTGCAAAATCAGGAAAATTTTCAGTATTTGGTCCATTTCAACCCCTAAATATTATGCGATCATCTCCAAAAGCCATATGGTTCTATTCTGGCCCAGATCCCACCTCCAAATTAACATGGACAGACGGACGGACGGACATACATAGCTAGATCGACTCAGCTCGGCGAGCTAGGAAGATCCATATTTACTTTCCTATGTGGGAAACCAATATTTCGAGGTGTTACATAATAGTTGTGTTGTAGGGTATAGTGTTGTATGGTATAAAAAGCCATGGTACAATGAATTCAAGGTAGGGCAGAACTATCATATGATTTCAATTTTTTATTTTTCTGGCTTAATATGTCAACTTCATTTGTTTATGTGTGCGTATTCTTTTCAATAATAAAAAATGTTCAGAAAATATTCAAATTCTGGTGTTTTCGCAATGCTTATTGCAACGTATGCATCGACAAAGTCTTCAGTTTTTGTCGCGAAATAAACCATAAGAGACATATAGAACATGATTTAGAAAAGAAGTGTTGACCTTTCATTCAGTTATCGCGGTTTTCAATTATTTATTCAAAATAAATGCAACAAGTTGTTTGATTTTTTATTGTTTTAATACTAATTCTGACATTACAAGCCAAACAGGTAGACCTCTATACTTGCAATTTTTTTCAAAGTTGACCTACCTTCTCTTCATTGTACCATGGGTATAACAATGTATTGTAAAATCAATTAACCCGATTTTGGCTTGGACAAAACAAAAGCAACTCTGTGGTACATTTTTTTTTGTACTTCTACGTCGTCAAGTATGTTGGTGGTTAGAACACTTTCGTGCCCATTCACCATGACCGGTTATTGTTTACTTGAAAAGTATCAGTACTCTTTTATTTTCGTTTTCTTTTTGTTTACAGTATATGTGTGTTTACAGAATGTAGTGATATGAATGGAATACATAAGAAACTGTAAGCAAATATGATGATTATTTACAAATAAAAGTCAAACTTCAATTTTGCAAAGTGCAATAAAGTTGATTAATTCATCTATATTTTGTTGGTTTTTGGACATCAGGATTTCCGGTAAGTTATTAAATTTCTTGAACAAATCAAAATCATTCCTATGATTTTGAAGCTTTTTGCAGAAAAAAATTATGTGTTTTTCATCTTCAATTTCGTTGCAGGTTTCACAAAGATTTGAGTCAGCAATTCCAATCCTGTGGAAATATTTTTTGGTGTAAGTATGACCAGTGAGCAATCGATTAAGAACCAGGGCTGTTTAGCAGGCGCTGGGAAGAATTGGTAGAAGTAAGTTCCTTTAGTCCGTGAGATGTCCTTGTAATTTTCTATAAACTCATTCCACAGGAGTGACTCAATGCGTTTCGACGCATCTGTGACCGACAGACAGAAGTTGATTGGTGAACCAACATTTGCTGCATGCTTCGCAAAATAATCGGCTGTTTCATTGATTGGTATACCGACATGGGAAGGTGTCCAAACAAACGAGATTTTAATTAAATGCGAATTAACAATTTTGTTTAGAATATTGTACACAGTGAAATTGTGAGATGTGTTGTTTTTAAGCAGAATACAAGCATTTTTGCTGTCTGTAAATAAAGCAGCTGTGCTGACACCGTCTTCGATCATCAAATCAATTGCCTTTTCAATTGCACATAGTTCACCAGTAAGAGAAGAAAGTTTTTCATTAATTTTGAAAACAAAATTTTGATTAGCAGATATATTGCAGACAGCGCAGCCTGAGTTGTTGTTAAAAAAAGCAGCATCCGTCGCCCAAATAGAAACGCCTTCGGATCTGAAGTCGTTAATTAATTCGTAGTAGTGTGCTTTGAAATATTCTGTTGGTGTATTGTTTTTGGTAGTATTAAATATATCCAGCATGAAATCTACCTTGTTGGTCGGATGTTGGTACATTCATATGATCGCTGCAATTTCAGTTGTTTTTACTGTTATATTTATCGTTTTTTGCTCGCTTCAACAGTTTCGTCATAAGTCATTTTTGAGATGTTTTTTTTTTACAATAGAATGTTTTTAAATACTGTCCAAAAAAGTTTAAAATGGCTAGAAGCAAATACAGTACATGAATAAAACACCAAATTATCAGTGACTATGAAAACAAGCTATAGTAGAAAGTGATTCCCTAAGTCGGTTTTAAGCAACTGGATTAGTAGTCTATAACGGATGAAGTCCGTGAAAAACTTCAGCCCGTACTGATCAAAAAATTGTGAGAGAAATAAAAAAACAACCATTTAAGAGTTCAACTGAATTGGTGAGAGAGCTATTATTGGATATAAGCTCGAGATCAGTGCGTATGCGAGTAGTGGCAGGTGGTCTGCATGTCCGTAAGTCATCAAAAAAACCGTTTATATCTGAAAAAAAAATGGAAAGCCAGGATGGTTTTCGGAAACGATAATATTAATTGGCATTCAGCTGAATGGAAAAACATTTTATTCTGGGATAGTCTACGTTTATTATTAAAGGCTCAGACTGAAAAATTTTACGGTGAGGAGACCAAAAAATAAAAGACTCAAGCCGCAGTGTTGCAAGGGTACAGTGAAGCATGAGGGAGGGTTAAAAACGGTATTTGGCTGTTTTTCTTTCTATGGACTTGGGTCTATCCATGAAAGAAAGGAAGTTATGGATCGGTTTGTTTACAAAGATGTGTTGGACATCACGTAGTTTCCTTTCGCTGAGGAAACTATTTGGCTTATTTGGATGTTTCAACATGACAATAATCCAAAACATGCATCAAAACTTGTCAAAGATTGATTGCGGGAGTCAAAAATCGGTGTTCTGTCATTGCCGGCACAATCACCTGACCTAAACCCCATAGAAAACCTTTGGAGTATCGTAGACAGGAAAATCAAGCGAGATTCGGAAACAAATAAAAACAACATTTTCCAAAGAATTCAGGGTGCCTGGGAAAGCATACCCAAGGAATAATTGGGCGTGTTATAGATTCAATGCCTCGTAGATGTGCAGATGCTATCAAAAATAATAGTTATCCTATCCACATCTAGCCAAAAGTTAATTATTTTAAATTAAAAAAATCAAAAGTTGCTGGCTAAACGAAGACCTGGACCTAATATTTTCGATACCTAAAGTCCTGTAGACCAAACAAATATTGGAGTAAAAATTTATCAACCTACTTCAATTCGTTCGTAAGCTAGAGTGATTTCCACAGACGGAAGGAAATCGTTAATTCCGTATAGGATTTTGGGGTATTTCGAGGTGTTACTATGATGGAGTGTATTCAAATTTATTAAAAAATGTGGCTAAAATCACCAAAATACTAAATATTTTGAGGTCCCGCCTTATGAGTGATAAAATAAATAATAGGCTAATTAAGCAAGTTTCTTTCACAGAAGACAGGACCCATTCCAAACTCCACAT